TACGGTTAGCGGTTTGGACCGGTGAAAGGGTAACGGTATACCGGTGAATGATCGTCACCGTTGCATCCCTACTAAGGATTTTCTTATAGTATGGCTGTTGAGGACTAAAGGTACCCCTATAGTATAGCATGTGAGGACCTAAGGGTTCTCTTATAGCATAGGGCTTGATGATCTAAGAGTACATCTATAGTGTAGGCCTTGAGGGCCTATGGGTTCCCTTATAGTATAGGCCATGAAGAATTATGAGGATTACTCTTGGATAGTCTTCAAAAAGATACGAACAATGCTCCTAGGAGGCATTGCACGTAAGCCACGACCAACGTTGCTCAATCAATATCACCGATTTGGCTGATATTTTTACAGTAGGTAGGCCTAAGAGTCTTAGGAAGAAACTGAAAATTTCAGCTCAAACGGATGAGCCGTTCTGGAGATATAGACGATACAAGTATGACGGGGTAGGTCCCATTTGGAGTACTTTATAGTGCAATACTTTTCAGTAAATCTCTATTTTCTCGAGAACAACAAGAGATATAACTGAGATTTTTTTACCATAAATACTATCAACGATGGGCTATATTTTTATGGTAATAAAGGTATCTCATCACTGTATGATTTTTGCTTGACATTATATACCATTTTCAGAAAACATTCTCACTTAAATAAGGCAAGTTGGTCGGATCAGCGCGCTAGGATAAATCGAGAGTAGTCTCATCTGAAAGAGCACATCAAAATGCATCGACTGACGTTTTCAAAAATTTGTGCAATTAAACTTTGGTAGCAAAAAATTTTTGAACAAGACTAGAAAGGCCAAATTTGGGCCCCGACTCTCCCTATGAAGATTGACGGTTTATTTTCAAATATTCGATTTAAGTGTTTGAAATGAAAGCCCATATGAAAAAACCTCTAAATCCAAAATTTCAGTTCATTTGAGCATGCCTGTGAAAAATGTTGAAGGAGTTACTTTTTAAAATTTTATAGGGTAATATATATAGTCCGTCTAATCTTTCTCATAGTCGTATTTCAGCTAAAGTGCAACCAAAAGATCTGAAATTTTGCACCATAAACTATTCTTGTCGAGTCCTTAATATACACAAAGTTTCAGGTCAAAATTCAAATTTTCATTTTTTTTCATGATCCTGAGGGGGACTACGGCATTTTCCTATAGGTAATTCGATAAAAATGAAAGTTCGAATTTTGGCCTGAAACTTTGTGTATATTAAGGACTCGATAAGAATAGTTTATGGTGAAAATTTCAGATCTTTTGGTTGCACTTTAGCTGTAATACGACTATCAGAAAGATTAGACGGACTATAAATATCACCCTATAAAATTTTAAAAAGTAACTCCTTCACCATTTTTCACAGGCATGCTCAAATGAACTGGAATTTTGGATTTAAAGGTCCTTTGACATGGACTTTAATTTGAAACACTTAAATCAAATATTTGAAAATAAATCGTCAATCTTCATAGGGAGAGTCGGGGCCCAAATTCGGCCTTTCCAGTCTTGTTCAGAAAATTTTTGCTACCAAAGTTCATTTCTACAAATTTTTGACAATGCCGTTCGACGCAGCTTGATGTGTTCTTTCAAATGAGACTATTTTCAAACTATTCTACCGCGCTGATATGACAAAGTCCTTATACATACGTAGACATCCCTTCTGAAAATGGTATGGAATGACGATCGAAAAAAAATCAATGAAAACGTATTTTCAATCCCATCAAAAGATAGCCAATAATCGATAGTGTCTATAGTAAAAAAATCTCTGTTATAACTCTTATGTTTGTTGAGAAAATGCAAATCTACTGAAAATTATTGCATTGCAAAATGCACCAAAGATGGCCTATATCCCAATAGTTGTCCCCACTATATCTCTAGCCTGGCTTATGTATTTGAGCTGAAATTTTGGGTTTCTTCGTAAATATGTTAGGCCTACCTACTGTGAAAATATCAGCCAAATCGGTGAGATCGATTGCGCAAGGTTGTCAGGAAATGATCGTAGCTTACGTGCACCGCCTCCTAGGTACCCTGTAAAAAAAATAGTATAATTTAATTTCTATCTAATAAATTATAAAAAGCAAATGAGTTAAATTTAATATCAATTACTCATAATTGAAATTTATATTAAATTAGCAGGAAAATAACATCTCAACTTTAAGATACTTTAATGTACTTTTATTGTGCTCTAATGTACAAGTGGTGCATAACCTTTTGCTGGGGGGCGGGTAGCGCTATTATTTCAAGTTGAATACCTAATGAATTGTATACCAAATTAAAGCGCGTCAAAAACTGGATATATTAGTACTAAATAGTAAGAGTTATCAAAACTTTTCAATGTCGAACTTACGAAGTTTTCAGAAATCTTATGCTTTTTTTGACATAGAAAATTAAAGCACCAATAATTCAAATATGAAGTAAAATATTTCTTTTTGATATTTTTACATGGTTTGATAGAGTTCATCGAGCTCTACAAAACTGTTTATATTAAAAGTTTTTTAAGCCGTTTTTCTGAGATAAAAAATTTTAAACATTACTTGCAACATTCTAAAAAATGTTTAAAAACTCGGTTTTTTTATGTGGAAAAGAAACACTCAATTTTCTCAATAAAATTAGCTTTTTTCACTATTTTTATTTACAAAGATGCTTCGAAATAGAGTCATCCGATGCAGCGCGAAAAATTGCACCTAACGAGTATATTTCGAAGCGTCGTTGTTAATGAGAATGACGAAAAAAGCTAATTTTATTGAGAAAATTGACTGTTTTTTTTCCACTTAAAATAACCGAGTTTTTAAACATTTTTTAGAATGTTGCAAGTAATGTTTAAAATTTTTTATCTCAGAAAAACGGCTTAAAAAACTTTTAATATAAACAGTTTTGTAGAGCTCGATGAGCTCTATCAAACCATGTAAAAATATCAAAAAGAAATATTTTACTTCATATTTGAATTATTGGTGCTTTAATTTTCTATGTCAAAAAAAGCATAAGATTTCTGAAAACTTCGTAAGTTCGACATTGAAAAGTTTTGATAACTCTTACTATTTAGTACTAATATATCCAGTTTTTGACGCGCTTTAATTTGGTATACAATTCATTAGGTATTCAACTTGAAATAATAGCGCTACCCGCCCCCCAGCAAAAGGTTATGCACAACCGTGTACTTTAAACTACTTTAAAGTACTTTAATGTACTTTAAGGTGCTTTGCAGTACTTTAAAGTACTGTAAAGTACTTTAAGGTACTTTAAGGTACTTTAAGGTACTTTAAGGTACTTTAAGGTACTTTAAGATACTTTGAAGTACTTTAAGTACTTTGAAGCACTATAAGGTACTTTAAAGTACGAAAGTACGGTGTTTTCCCTTGGTGTATGGACATGCGTGGATGGGTATGTGTGTGAGTGAATGCGGTATGGGGTGTGGGTGTGGGTTTGTGTGCCGCTTCGAGGTATCGTAGGGTGTGGCTTTGTGTGTCGGTTCGGGACAATGTGGAGCGTGGGTATGGAGCTCAGGGTGCATCTGTGTGTATCGGATGGATGTGTGTAGGGTGGGTGCGAGTGTAGATTGTGACTATGGGTATGAGTGTATGTGGGTGTGGATGTTGACGTGCATCGAGAGTTGTCATACTCACACTCCGCTATCCAGGTCCAGCGCCTACGCGCAGCCACGCTCACACTCACAGCCACATGGAAATCCAGACATCCACATCCTCACACACCCACGCACATACTACACGCACGCCGAAACTCACACGCACCCAAATCCGCACCCGTACCCCACATGACATCCACGCCCACTCCGCGCGCTCAGTTCCCTGTAGATGATTATCATCATACAGTTTGTTGCTCTCATGATTGTTCCTGTATTGGCTGTTGAACTCCTCCAAACTCGTGTCAGATTCGAGAGTGGTATCGTTTAAAATTCGATATGAGGAACAGTTGCTGATGGTTTTGATACAGTCGAGCAAATAGTGTGCTAATTCATGGTTACGCGGTTCGATCGATGACGAGAATACTTTTATTGATTTTGCTCGTTCTGAAAGAAAATTAAATAGTAGGTGAATGGCTTCGTTAGTATTGATCATATTGACGTTTTTTTTGTTTTGGTTTTATCGACAGCTAAACTCGTCTATATTTTTAATAATGATAAGAAAAGTTGCTTAAAGATCATGGAATATAAAGTGGAACAATCTAGAATAAATTTATAGACAAGCACAGAATGTTGTGGCACAGAGCGAGGTTGGTAATATTTCTTTAGAAGGCTGTTTTATTCTTTGTTTTCTGCTTGGTCTGACTCTGAGCGAACCTCGAAGAAAGATATCAAGAAGATGCAAACAATGAATAAAGCACAAATGACAAATCATGCAAACGAAATATTAGATACAAACAATTAAGGAATGTGTATGATTATGTATGAAACATTTCTGAGATAATGTTATTTATGTGACGCGTTAATATTTGATGCTTCTTTTATATAGTAGTTAGATCATCAGATGAACATTACAACATTATTTCTTTGATAGCTTCACGATTTATCTATAAACATTTCAACAATAAATTTTTGTCTAAATATATGTTAATATCGTAATTCAGACACAACAAGCAATCCATCTACATTTTCGATCCAAAACATGAAATATTCACATCCTAGTCAAATCAGCTCATGAAAGGGAATCCTTTTAAGGTTCATCTAGCCTCACTAGGTCCTACTTATGACATCAATATGAGTCTTAAAGCTTTTAATTAGTTGCTGGGATTCCCTCACGAGTTATTTGTGATACAACCGAGTTCATTGTATTTTTCAATGGGTAATAGCGTATTCTCTGATTTCAGGAATTGAGAAGGTGACTTTCTGTCTGAAAGTCTGTTGAAGTCAGATTTAAGCACGGATGAGAGGGAGAAGCTTATTATATAGTTGAAGTAGATTCTGAGCACTCATAATTATCCCCATATGCAACAGAATTAATAGGTTAATAAATCACAAATATTTGTATTTGTGAATTATATTTTGCTATGAATTTTTACATCCTATTGCATTTTGTAAGACAACAAAAGATTGAACACCCCAGTCACCTTTAGCTTTTGCCATTTCTGAGCCTAGCACTTCGACAATATGAAAATTTCGATATAATAAAGGTAAACGAATAGGTCCATATATACGATGTAAATTGAACTGAATGAAATCTTGGATGTTAAGCGGAACACCCAAAAATAGAAATCCACCAGGTTTGAGAATACAAGTTATTTTGACCATCGTTTGAAGATCACCATATGCATTTAATGGATCTCGATATCGTCCAAGCCCATCATGTTCAATACTGCTATATGACCACACACTGTCAAACAATTGTCGTTGATTCTTTTTATGCTGTTGTATACGTGCAAATTGTTTTGGTGTTATAGTAAATAGGCGAGGAACATTTGAATAAATAGTTGCATATTCAATAGTTGTAACACTCGATGCATTGTATTCAAGTAATGCAGCTTCAATCCATGGAATTTCAGTTCCAATAATAGCACATTTCTTGTCTTTAATAGCTAACGAACCATATTTATCCAACGCTGGATATATATCTTTATTATTGTATGAGCCAAAAGCTTCCCTTGCTCGTACTTGACTACGTAATCTTTCAATAAATTCAAATGTCCAATTCACAGGACTAGTGTCAACTGTGCGGAATTGTTGAGAACTAAAATCGATTGGTATAGAATAGTTTAGAGTGAAATTAGACAATAGATGATCAGAAATGTTGCTTATATGCTGACGCGTTTCCGGTAGATTGTCTTTAAGCCATGCATTATAATTTGGGCATTGATCAGCATCAGGAGTACAATAAACATTATATTTTATAAAGTCATGATTAGGAATGCGTGGAAGAAACGAACATGAAACAAGTTCATTATTGTCAGTGTTAGCCCAAGGACAGTAGCCAGCGCAAACATATATATTTCGACTTGAAGTGCATGGTGGGTCAGTTATACCATTGATGGTGTGCGGTCGAGTGTTTGCACGAAATTTAATAGTATGGGACTGTCGGCTACGAAATGTTCTGTAATTTAGACGTTCCGCAAACAATAGAACTATAAAAATTAACAAAACAGTAAGCATTGTGATACGGAATATAAGTTGTTTATTCATTATTCTGATCTAGAAGTGTGATGTACTACATAAAAATGCCACATGTTTTCAATATTGGTTTTATGTAATAGATTTTAAATTGAAAAACTAGTCATTTCGTTCTATAAGGCTCAATATTAGGTGTTCATAAATAAACATCCACCAAACCCAAACCCAAACTGTTTGGGAGTTTGGGTTTGGGTCTGATGTCGTGACTAGACATGCACTAGTCCCAAATAGTTTTCGTTTTGATGCATTGAGTATTAAGTTTGAGTTTGGATTTGGATTCGGATTTGGGTATGAGTTTCAGTTTCAGTTTGATCAACACTCGTATATCAAAAGCTTAGATACATAGGCAAGGGGGAAACACCGTACTTTGTACTTTAAAGCTCTTTAAGGTACTTTGAAGTACTTTACTGTACTTTATTGTACTTCAAAGTACTTTATTGTACTTCAAAGTACTTTATTGTACTTCAAAGTACTTTATTGTACTTCAATATACTTCAGGCTACTTTAAGATACTTCAATGTGCTTATACACTGCAAGGCCTATCCACGAGTAGTCTTCATAACTCTTCAACAGCTATCTACACTCTAAAAAAAAAAGGTTTTTTACCGAACCCAAAAAGGATCTTATCCTCGGTACACGGTAAGATCCTTTTTTGGTTTCGTAAAAAACGAGGTTTCGTAACAAACCATCTTTGGAAAGCTGGAATAAAGGTTTCGTAACAGAGGTTTCGCACAAAACCATTTATGAATAACTAAAATAAAGGTTTCGTACTAAAGGTTTCGTACTAAACCTTTTTACCAAACTAAAAATAAGGTTCTGCGGACAAGGTTTTGTACCGAACCTATACAAGAAACAGAAAAAAAGGTTCCGTACAGATAGTTTTCTGCTAAACCTTTACTACAAATTAAAATAAAAGGTTTCGTACATAATGATTCACAGAAAACCTGTTTTTAATCGCCCAGCCAGTCATTCATTTAGTTTAAACTTGAACCAACTGATGACTATGGCATTTGAATCAATCTATAATATACTCTAGATTGATTCAAATCTCATAGTCATCAGTAGGTTCGATTTTAAACTAAATGAATGACTGGCTGGACGATTACAAACAGGTTTAATGCGAATCAATCTATAATAGAAAAATAAATAGATTTATTTTATTTTATAAAATCAAACTTACTCTTGATTTTGATGTTTGAAACAATCAATAATAGAAAGATTAATATAAGTTATTTACTATATATTAAACTTACCTGTTCCATGTGTGAGTCAACCTATAATAGAAAAATAAATAGATTTGTTTTATTTCATAAAATCAAACTTACTCTTGATTTTGATGTTTGAATCAATCTAAAAT